TAGAATTTATAATAAATCAGAATTAAAAATAAGAAAAGAAAATATCAGATAACCTTGTAAAAACATCAAAATGCATAATAAATCAGTAAATCATCATTTACTAAATTGTTATTGATCTTAGTTCCTTAGCTTTAAATAATGGTTGGGAATAAGATAAGTCTAGAAATATGTATTAATGCTTTTTTTATCATTTTACAAAACATCATTGCATATTTCCACATGTTTCATAATATTTCCACAATGTCTCTAATTTTTACAATATTTCCCCTTGACATTTCTGACATATGTCCTATATTATGGTAAGCGACATTTCCATCGACATCGACATTTTAAACCTTGCCCATCAATCAGTCTACAATTACATGAAATCATTCAATGTTGTTAAACTGTGTCATCCTATCAGAATAAAGCTGAAAATTATGTGACATACTGCATGCCTATCAAAAAAGTTTTTTATGCTTTGCTTGTCCAATAGTGGCAATTGGATGGTCAAATCAAAAGACAGCAACCATTTGATAATATCCCTAGATTTCCTTGTATTATCTTCTTCCTTTCTTCTTTTTCTTCTCCACCAAGAAAACATAAAAAGGTGACAATAACCATTAATCTTTTCTGATCATCCAAAAGGACTACAGACAATTTGAATGTTGTGCTTTGAGATTGATATTATGTTTAGAATAGCACACTGCAAATGTCAGTCCCACTCACACTGCAAATGCATCTGGTCATATTGTTATTCTGTTGGTAATAAGGATAGTCTACCTATTATTTTCTTTAATGGGAAAGCATAGCATCATTATAGGTCAATAAATAATACCTTCCAGGTAAAACTTTAGCTATTTCTGCCCATTTATTCCCATGTATTCGGTGGGCATTCATGAGTGCGAGTTCCTCCTCCAAGGTCCAAGCATCTTTCTTTATCATAGGGTTTAAATGATTGTGCCATCTGAAAACAGTTCAAACAATTAGCCTTTATTTTTTTTTTCTTGGGTGAATATTGGCAACAAGCTAATAGATGAAACCGAACAATCACAGTAACCAAAGAAATTATATATTTGATATCCTTTTCATAGTGTATAACATAAGCCCATGAACAATTTGAGTCAACCCAACTTGAAAACCTTGAGATAAGCATTAAAATGTAAAAAAGCTTCAGCAATCAACACCACAGCCAAATGAAAAGTGGTAATAAATGATATCATAAAACATAAATCTCAGTAAATATAATCTTTATACAATTACACTGTTAGCTCACAAAACCAACCTCTCCCGGCATTGTTTCCCTATGCGACCTGGCAAGGATTTTGCTATAACTGACCACTTTGTAGGCCCGTATTTTGATACCAGTTCAATGATTCTATCATCTTCCTGTGGATCACACAGGGAACAGAAAATTTAATATCTAACTCTCAAGTCTCAAACATGCAAAAAGTGAAAATGGTGATGGAGGAAAATTTGCACTTAACCTCCTGGGTCCATGGTCCTTTAATAAGCTCTGGATTGAGAACCTTTTGCCATCGATGTAGACATTGAACTTCTGATCTATCGGGAAAAAATTCAGCTGCAAAAACATGAATGATTAATTACAAGATGGCCTTCCAGTACAGTCATGCATATAAGTTGGACATTTTATGTGGCAATGTGGTTGCGGGATAACTGTTACAAATGAGCCATGCATGTTACAAAATATAAGAACATGCTGCATCAAGAACCAAACTATTTTAATAGAAGTAACACATAACACATGAGTTGCATTAGATGTTTCCATATTTCAGGTTTTTTAATACACTATTTCAGCAACTGCTAAACAATGAAAAACATTGCCATGCATGTCTCCTTAATCATAGGACTATCTATTAAGTCTGTCCCATATTAATTTCAACTGCCTCCCGATGTTGCAGTTGAATAATCCAAACATTAGTCATTTCATTGCTCCATTCTTCTACTAGTTTGACTCAGTAATCAGTAGTCAATAAATATAAGTACTACCAGATAAGTTTTAACTTTTAACTCAATAATCAGCAATTAAACGCCTAGGGCTATCATCAGCAATACAAAATATAGGGATAGAAAGCTATTAAATATTCTTTAAAGCAGAATAGCTTGATTTTTTCATTCATTCATCAAGTCAGGTTGGAATTAGATTAGTTAGTTGAAATGACACAAGCAAATTAATGTGAAATGGTACATTATGCAACATATTGCATAACTTTGAAATAACAATGAAATATTTACTGCTTAGAACAAACATCAGTATCAGTGTCATGACATTCCTTTCTGTGTGATCTAAATTCTATGCCATATGACCATGTCATGAAATTGTCAAAGTCATCTACAAACTTGAGCACCCTTGCTGCAGGTTACAAACCAGGGCCAACTGATCCATTTCCTAGAAGGATTTATTTTCAGTTATGGATCTGAATAGATTAAAAGACAACTGCAGAGAAAAAATACATGAAGCCTGTGCCTTGTAAACAAAACCAAATGAGGTCTAGGCTGTCTAGCAAAGCTGATCAAATCCTAACTTGAATAATTCAAACCAACCAAGATTAATCATAACAACTGATGTTGAAGAAATCATAGAGAAGGAAAAGAACAAACCTATTTTCTTCCAACACTTCCCTTTAAAAGCTTTAACAGCTTTTCTTAATGTCTCATCCTGTAACACATATATTAATTAGGAATAAAATCTACTTATGATGGATAAAAGAGAGTAATTGAAAGATAAGCAGCCCATCAAAAGGAACTAACATGGATGAGTACCTATAATATACTGAACGCAATAATAACATTTTTGGCCTGCAGTTTGTGGAGCCAATAAAAAAGCTACCTATAATAATTATAGAAGGTTTTAAAGGCAAATCCCTGATTCAAGTTTTCTAAATCCTATGAGTGATAAATTGATCTGAACCTGCCTAACGCATAGCTAAGCAAACAAAGAGGCAGCATAAAGAAGAGGTAGGTTTCAATATCTACTAGGTAGAATCTTATGGCTAGCCTATAATAATAAAAATAAATAAATAAATTTACAAATCAAGCTAAACTGCTAACCTCCTCTGGAGTCCACCCACCCTTTGCACGCCTTATGGGGCCAGTAGTCCTCCTACATAAAATGTTAAATCACCATAATAATATGTAACAGAAAGCACAAAGCTTCTAGTACTTGTACAATATACATGAATTACCAAAAAAGCTTTGTCAACATATCATAATAAAAGAAACTATTCAGGAATCCTGAAATGATGCTGATTTTGGAAAGGAACTAAGAGCATTATATGGTTCAATTTGATGTCTCCTTTCCTGTTAGCTAACCTGTTTCTAAGTATATGCCTAGTAAGCATAAAAATGATATAGGGGGACGTAGAAGTATTTGTTTCATATTGAAATGAACCACAGAAAGTCAGATTTAGCTTATTTTAGATCTGAAAACCCACCCACAATTGACGATGATCAAACTGCAGACGAATTTATATGATTTCCAAATAAAACCTAATAAAGAAAAGCTAATAGTAATTTCAAAGCGAAGCTGTTATTACTGATGGTAAAGGAGCAAATAACAGAATAACTGTACCGATGATATGGCGATGTTGAAGCGGGGCTGCAAATCACTGGAGACTTCAGAGCGATGCTACAACTACCCTCAGAGACAGAGGAGCTCGAAGCAGCAGCTGACTGTTTGTTCTCGAGACAACACTGCTCGTGTTTCACTTCAGCCATCATTTTCTAGGACAGTCTCCAAAACCCAACATCCTGATATAGAAGAAAACTAAACAAATCCCACTTAGAGAAACTAATCGTGACACTGAAACTCATCAAGAACCATCAATAGAACCTCAGAACCAGAATTATGATACTAATCAATAGTCGACAGAATTCCCGAAAATCCCAATACATCCTAAATATTAACCGTCAATAACTAGAACGCAGATCTTAAAACAAAAAAGCAGATCAAACAGAAGAAGAAAAACGAAAAGAGATTAGGAAACAGAATTTTAGGGTTTTAGATCACAAATAACAAAAGAACGTCCAATCACAGACGAATCAAAATTACTTGAGTTTAACAAAAATTAAGGTGAGACGATCCAAAACAATTAAGCGTTGAGAAGAAGAGTGAGTAAAAACAATTAAGAAATTTGTGAATTCAATTACCTCCGGTTGCAGAGGAATGGCGGGAATCGAAGCCGAGCTCATCAGGCGAGAGAAACAAAAGGTTCGAACCCTCGAAGAGAAGAAAACTGTGAAAGCTTTCTTTCAAAAAACATCGCCCGTTGAAAGAGAGAGAAGAAAACTATAACGAATAATAATATTATAATTAAAAAAATCAGGCCGACCGACGTTTCCGTTTCCCTCTGTTAACCAGAAGCTCCAAAACAAAGCCTTTGGATGTTAACGGCTCTTGACGGTTTATGTTAACGTTGCGAGCAAAAGTTTGAACCTCAAACGGCACACTCCCATTACAGCCACCTTCTTAAGTTTCGAACAAGTTCAGAGCATAGATGCTTCCTGAGTCATTCTTAACCGTTGGATTCGTACTGATTAATCGACCTTTAAGTAGAGTTCATGAAAGAGACGTTTTAACTGATTGAGGGTACTCTATTAATTCGAGGGAACATGTGATTACATTGTTTTGGACGGCTACGATTCTTTAGGTTCTTTCCCGATTTTAATCTGGTCCTTCCATATCTGGATCACACAAATTTTTTGTACTGTTCAGGTGCGGACCTAATATTAAATTAGTTAGAAAATTTAATAATTCAAGTTAGCTGAAGATGTAGACCATTGATATGTGTTAGAATAGATTATCTACAGTTAGACACGTTGGGTTGCCTCGTAGACTCAGACGGTTTCTTTCACGCAGGGGAAAAAACTTGCGTCGGGGACTCGGGGGGTTGAGGTTTGAGGATGAACCATGGATGATGAGACCCTGAGACGAGTTTACATCGCGCCCCATAGTACATCTCAACTCAACCATGTACCGGTCCCAACGGAAGATGTTTTCAATGCACGCTGAGAGATATGCAGTGGGGCACCTGTGGGTACTTTCTGATATACCCTTAACGCCTGGGGGTGTTTCGGGTCAGACCATGACTGAAAGGATAGATGGGCCTTAAACTGATCCTCTGAACCAGTTTGAACAAAAAAAACTAAAAAAGAAGGGACAAATGAGCCTCGATATTTTGAACCTTACCTTGTGGGGTGTGACAAGTGGAGCACCGATGTGGTCTCCCTTGAGACAGAGAAGAGTGCCAATTAGGGGTGCCAATTGGACTGGATTTGGTCCAATCCAATCCAGTTCAATGTGAGTCCATTACAAATGGATCAGGTCTAGTCCAATCCAATGAATATTTTGGACCGGTCTGATTCAATGTCTGGACCATCCAATCAGTTCTAATTTAGATTGGTTCCAACCTAAACCCAGTCCATTGACACTTACATTCTTATCTTCTATCAATATCAATGGACCATATACTGGTTCAATCCAATCCAATCCAATATAAATTCATTATGAATGGATTCAAGTCCAATCTAATCCAAATTGATTTTGGTTTGGATGGGGTCCAACTCAAAACCGGTCCATTGACACTCCTAGTGCCAACTGGCTCAGTTGTGAGCACTTTGGCTGGGTTAATTGGTTGTAGAGGAAGCTTGGGATTTGGTACCAATTCTTGCTACACCCTGGTTGGGAGGCTTTGGGTTTGGGGATGGTCTACCTGCCCTTGTGTTAGTCCCATAAAACAAAATAGGAAAAATAAAAGGTCTGGATCCTCATTTTTAGAATTTTGAAAAAGGATATAGATGAATTTACATTTGGGAACTCACATGTACAACTCAGCGTGCATTGGGAACATCTATATTACTTGCCATTGGGAAATGTTCCCCATACACGGTTGGGATGTGCTATAAGGAACTTGTGGGGCACGCTCTATGAGGCACCAATGTGAATTCATCTAGATCTAGATAACATTATGTTAGTTAATGAGAGAGTTGATAAATTTTCCCACGTTCATGTTTTGGTAAATGTGAGTTCTAATTCATTCTTGGGTATCATTTTTCTAAATAAGTGATACCTGTCTTCAAGGTGGGAGATGTTAAAATTAATAAAACAAAATTGTCCATTGAAAGACTTAAATTTCCATTTAGATTTGTCCAAAATATTGAAACATCCCCTCTCTTTTAAAATTGAATTAAACTTCTCCTTTTTCTCGTGAGGGCATAGAACAAAAAACTCCCCTCCATTAACATTTCGTTTAAATGCATATAAACATAACATCATGTGCATATTAACTTTTTGAAAAAACCCAGTCTTGCCTACTTTCGTATTCTTTCTTCTTCTAAACCTTCAAAGCTACCTAATCTACACCATGTAACATTCCATTTACTACCTTGTTTGAGACCCTTCGTCCACTTGCTTCTTTGAAACTTTTTGTTCAATGGATCACAATTGAATTTGTTCAATGGTTTGTTCTGGAGTTTAAATTGACAACAATGAAGTAGGGCATGTACTATGTTGAGATTGGATTTGAGGAGTTGTTGGAGAGACTAATTAATTAGATGTCCATTAGGACTCCAACGGACATGGAGGGTAGGGATGGCAAATGGGTGGGTTGGGTTTAGTTAGGTGTGGGTTGAATACCAACCTACCCATACTGACCCACTAACCCATTTTCCACCCATACTGTATTCATTAAGAATACAATATACATTTTCAACGTAATTGGATTTCAGAAGATAAATCAGAAGAATATGAATTTTTTTTTTTGGAAAAGTTAAGCAGATTTTATTGAAAAAGAAGAATTTACACACGAGCAGCCCGAAATCCATGAGCATCCTCCCAAACAATCTGGGAGAGCTCGGCCAGGAAAAGCAACGGGGGCAGAACAGCCTCGTGTACATAATCAAAAAACTTCAAAAAGAAAATCAGCAGCCCTATTACCCTCACTGTATATATGAACAAAAGATCCAAATTCAAAGCCGAGATAGACAAGTTTAATTTGCTCGATTAGATCCCAAGCTTTCCAAGGAGAAGGGTATGTCCCATTCAAAAAGTTTATACCTATTTGAGAGTCAGATTGTACTACAACCTTACTAAGATTTCTCTCCTAGGCATTCTTAAGGCCTTTAAGAATGGCTTGTAATTCATGAGTGAGCGTTCCTTCAAGAGGAACCATAACCGCATAAACCTCCAAAGGACAACCTCTATCATCTCTAATGATAAAACCAACACCTCCTCTATCAACATAATAGGATCCATTAGTGTTTAAGCAAGCCATACCCGTCGAAGGCGGAATCCAGTAGTGAAAGGACTACTCATTCTGAGAAGGGGAAAAAGCTAGGCTCCATGCTTCACACAGGGATCTTGTAAGGGGGGAATCCTGGAGCTTCCACTTATCACGACCATTTTTGGTTGAGATATCAGAGAATTTTTTAGAGGATTACGTCCCAATTAAGAGATTTATTCAAAAAACATCGACGATTCCTTTCAAACCAAATATGATAAATTGTGCCGGCAAGAGCTAGCCTCAGTAAACACTGTACCAGTTGACCTCTCCCGGAGCTCTGGTGAATGAGCCAATCAACCTCATTGAGCCAAGAGTCTTGCTTGGACCATACCACGTGGCATTAAGCTAAGATAGCTTGCCAAATCTTGTTGGAAAAATCACAAGAGAAGAATAGGTGGTCATGGGACTCTTCTTCCCAATTACATAGCACACAAAGAGGAAGAAGCAAAGAGAGACCATGCCTATGCAACTGATCCTTGGTAGAGAGGGCACCCCTCACAGCTAGCCATAGGATGAAAGCATGACGAGGGGTCCTATTCCTATCCCAAATGAGAGCAGCCCAGTCCTTTCGAACACCAATAGGGCGGATACACTCCCAAGACAAACTGACTGAGAAGAATTCCCCAGGGTTCGGAGTCCAAATCACCCTATCCTTGGTGAGAGATTCACAGTCTGGAGGTTTCTCCCCACCATTCAGGATTCAGAGGGAGGAAAAACCTAGGTGGGGCCCACCGACAATCAGTTATAACACAAGAAACTTTAATCAATTTCGAGGGAGCAATAGAAGCCTTGAGTTGGGCATCAAGAGAATCCCACAAAACCCTACGAGGGTGCCAAAAAAGAGTTTCTATACCCGCAATAACATGGTGGGTCCAGGGCTTGCCTAGGTCTCGAGTCTTCAAGAGGCTTCTAACAGCCCAGGAGCACCGCCTTGGCACCGGAAGAGACCAAATAGAGTTAACCAAGTAACCCACAAGGATGAAGAGCTATTTGTAGCAATAGTCCAAACATGCTTAATAAGAAGGGCCAGATTCCAGTCCCTTACCCTTTGAAGGTCGAGGCCCCCCTTCCACACTCAGCATGCAAAAGATTCCCAACGGACATTGTGGATCCTAGCACCCCCTGATCCTGCCCAAAGAAAATCCAAGGAGAGCTTCTCTAGAAGATTTGTGACACTGACTGATAGGCTAGCTAGAGAGCACCAAAACAGGATCCTACCACTGCTGACTGAACGGAGTAATTCCAATCTTCCAACATAAGATAAGGTCTCACTCTTCTAGGATTTAGTCAAGTTATCCATCGCCTTGACGAGAGGAAGACGATCATTGTGGGTCAACTTGGTGGTAGTCAGAGGGAAACCGAGGTACCTAATCGGGAGGGAGTCTAGAGACATTCCAAGGATATCCAATATAGATGACTGGTCCTCTACACTAACAACAAAGAAAAAGACCTGGAACTTGGCATTGTTTACCTCAAGACCAGACCAGACCAGGCCAAGAACCGATCTAGGAGATATCGAAGGTTAAAAGCGGATATAGGGTTTGCGACAAGAAATATGAATAAATCATCAAAAAAAGTCAAGTGGGTTATCATGGGCGACTTGCATCTTGGATGAAGGCGGAGGAAGCCTTTTAAGGCGGCTTCATCTAAAATATTGGATAAGACCAAAAGAACCAACAAAAACAAATAAGGCAAACTAGGGTCTCCTTGGCATAGACCACGGGAAGCTTCAAAGTAGCCTTCATGAGAGCCATTGACCATCACAGAAAAGCTAGTAGTAAAAACACAAGTAAAGATCCACTCCACAACATGTTCGGGAAAGGCAACACTCTCCAAAACTCGACGAAGAAAGAGCCAATCAATAGAGTCATAAGCCTTTAGCAAATCAATCTTTAGCGCCATATGAGGCTTCCCATTATTCAAGTGATAACCATGAAGGATTTCATGAGCCAGCAAAATGTTGTGATGATATCCGACTGGTTCCAAAAAATGAGATCTGGGAC